GGGGCGCTGCGGGGGGCTGTGCAGTAAAGCAGGTCGGCCACCTGTCCTCGGAGCCGTGCACTAATTCCCTCCACCAGCCCGGGAGCGCTCTTCCTGATTATCTGCCCCTACTTGGCCTGCGAGAAAGGGCCGGATTCCCGCCGCACTCCGGATCCTGACCCCACCATGAAGATGGGGGAATGACATCCGGTCATGCATGCCACAAATAGTGCGGGGACCCTGCCCGAGCCTCCCCCAAGTTTAGAAGAAGCAGGTCTTTTAAAAAATAGGCTTTATAGGTTTTCTTCCCCAGATTACATTTTTTTTTCTGAATAGATTTGTTTTAGAACAACTTTAGGTTTATAGAGAAATTGCAAAGATAGTAGAGTTCCCACGTATTCCAAACCTTTTCCCCTTTATTAACATCTGACGTTCGTATGGTGCATTTGTTACAGTTAATGAGCCGATATTGATCTGTTATTATTGGCCCAAGTCGTCCTTAACTCCTGTTGACTGAGTTTTCACCTAAGCACCTGTTTCCGTGTGGTGATCCCGTCCAGGTTACCAGGCTACATTTGGTCGGCATGTCCCATGAGGCTCCTCTTGGCTGTGGCCGCTCATACTTGTTTGGGATGATCTTGACAGTTTTGAGGAATGCTCGTCGAGTGTATTGTGGGGTGCCCCTCTACGGGAATTTGATGTCTGTTTCCTAAGACCAGTCTTCAGTTTATTGGGAGGACGACTACTGCGGTAGGTTGCCCGGTGTGGCATGGCGTCAAAGGTGCGTGCTGTCAACACGATTTAGGACGTGGTGTTGATCGTGGTCACCTGAGAAAGTGTTTGCCAGTCTCTCGGCTGTACAGTTACTGTATTTAGCCCTGTTTCGTAGCATACTCTTTGGAAAGAAGTGACTGTGCAGCCCATACTGAAGGAGGGGACAGTACGCTCCTCCTCCTTGAGGACAGGTAGCTACACCTAGTATTTGGAATTCTTTGCATGGGAGATTAGTCTCTCTTGTCCTTATTTATTAACTTATTCAATCCTTTATCATCAGCACGGACTCATGGATATTTATTTTATACTTTGGGTTATAATCCAATCCTACTTTATTTTGTTGCTCAAATTGTTGTAGCTTTGGTTACTGGAGGCTCTTTCAAGTTGGGTCCTGTGTCCTTCCCAGCGAGTATTTTTATAGAGCTTTTTGCTGTTGAAGGCACTTTGACTGGGGGGGCTTCCATTGAACACCGAACAGTGTGATTATTTCCCTCCTTGAGAGGTAAGGAAACGGAGGCCCAGGAGAAAGTGACATCTTAGCCGTCCCTTTCCTACAAGGGAGTGACAGGCTGGTGTCATACTATCCCCAGAAAGCATTGCAAGCTGCAGAAGGAAGTCCATGGTCCGGACTGAAGCTTCTTGGCGTGACTTCAGACTTAGGCCCTGGGATCAGAATGGGAAGACAGTGGCTTCGGAAACAAAGGCTTAATTTGACTGTTATCCAGGAGAAAGTACAGCTCGCCAGATTGGTAGACATGAAATGTTGACCTTTTCCCCAAAACGGTGTGTGTGGAGGGAGGCAGGGGAAGATCTGGGAAATGTTTGTGGTCAAGAACATCTAATCGGAGGGGGCCTTCTGCAGAAGCAAGATTGTGAAGTGGGCAAAAGAAGCCTGTGGGGGTGGGGGGATGAAGAAGAGGATGGAGGCATGGAGTGACTCTGTGCCAGGTCCTGGAGATGGAGGACCAGTGAGGAATGCGCTTGGGTTCACCTTCTGGTGGGGGGAGGTGGGTAACCATGTCAGCTGTTGGTAGTAATGACCCGCGTCGACTGCAGAGCTGTGGGAGCCTCCCCAGGGGAGAGCCATTCAGCTGGAAAGTGGGATGGACACCGCGGGGTCGGGGCACCTCACGGGGCGCTGTCTGATTCAAGCTGTCCAGGATGCGCTGGAACAAAGACCGTGTGCAAGCACAGGGGGTGGGGCTGGGGGCCCTGGAGAAGGAGCTGGTGTTAGGCTGAGGCCACAGTGCCGGCCAGATCGTGGGGACTGTGTGGGCCCTGCGGAGTCCTGACCACAGCTAAGACTGAAGCAGGAGAGGGACAGGACGAGAGCTGTGTGTTCGAAAGACCAGCCCGGTGGCGCCTTGTAGGAGATAAGGCTACATTCCACCAAATCTAAGATGCAGTCAGTTTATATATGTTCCATATAGAAAGCATGTCTTTCTAGGTCAGTTAGAGTATGCTACGGATCACGTTTCAGAGATGCTGAAATGCAATGACATGGATATCTTACATTTGAGGAAAAGCTGTACCCCCCTTTGCCAGTTCTTAGATCCCTCCTTGCGCTGGGAAATGAATGGTCAGAATAGCTCCGTCTCACTAACCTGTAGATGGTAAGTTCCAGGCTCCACCTATGATCTTGAAAGAGCTAGCTCTGATAAGCACGCTTTGTCCTGCCTGATAGCCAAATTGTCGAAAACCAGCACAGAGGATGCCTGACCTAAAGATTTCATCTGTGTTTATTGGTTGCCCTCGATAACGGCCATGACTTTAGGTTGCACACTGAATACGCTCGTGTGCTCACCCCACATTTATTTCAGTTTGCCTACGAAGGGTCTAGATGCCCCCTCCACCCCCATCTCTTCGTGGTGATCCTGAGCTGATCAAAGGTCAAGAATGTATCCCCCAAGCTGCACAGCTGAGTCACTGCATTGGGGTGAAAATCTGGGTTTTGGTGCTAACCCGGGAGTCTTCATTGTCAGCTTTGGTTAGGGTAACAGCCAGGGATGGAGGAAGGTTCTGATTGTGTCTCTCGAACTGTGGGAAGGGGCCATGACGGCTGAGAGCGGCTTGGAGATCTGTCAGGTCCTGGCCAGGCATTCCACCTGTGGGGCCAGAGAGGGCCAGAGAGGGAGCCGCCACTGGGTGTCTACCTTTGTCTAGATAAATAGGTGGATTTTTTTTTTTTGCACAAATTCTTTGTATATTTCAGCTTTCAATAATGTCTTGTGCTGTATCAGTCAGGATTCCTTTTTTTCCAGGTGACACACAGGTGCAAGCTAGCTGAGCATAAAGGGCATTTATTGCCTTGTACGAAGGCACAGTTCAAGGGTCGAGCTAGCTTCGGGCACTGCTCGATACAGGGTTTTACAAGATGCCATGAGGATCCAGTTTCTTCTGCTTCATCTCTGGGTTGGCTTCATTCTCAAACAGGCTAGCCCTCTGCTTAGCAATATCGCTCTTGCATCTCCAAACCAGATTGACGTCACCTCTTGCAAATTCTCGAGAAACCACAATCTTTCCCCCCTGTCTCAACCAGGTCTTCTTGTGACTAGCAGACTTGAGTCATATCCTAACCTCTGAAGCAAGCACGGAGGTCAGGGAGGCATCTGACTCCTTCTCTTGCTCCACCCTTGAGCTGAGGGAGAGCTATGGCCTAAGTACCTGATCAAAGTTGGCAAAGTTAGTAAGGGAAGGAAGAATGGAAGCTGGGCGGACCCCTCCCCAAAGATAAAGCCTTTACAGCACTCCTGCTTGGAGCAGGGAGCCCAGTACTATCCCGCTGCAATCCCCTGTAGACTGGCACACATGTCAACGCCGACATAGCAGGTTGGCACCCATGGCCTGCCGCTTGGAACGTACACTGCTACAGTCAGTGTGGGAACAGGGTGGCCTGATCTGGTCAAGGACGCATCTGCTTGCTTGTGTGAACCAGGACACGTGCACAAACCTTCACCGAACAGTGTTTGTCATTGTCCCAAACAGGAAACGGTCGGTGGCCGTGAGAAGTAGCCTGCAGGCACACCTCGTCTTCCTGTGCTCTGGAGACACCGTGTGTGTTACGAAGGGGGCGGTTCGTGGCGGCCCCGCCGCGGGCAAGTCTGTCGGACCCACTTTACAGGAGCTGTTTCTGGCTACGTGTCTCTGTGTGTCTCACAGTATTTCACACCTGTGCGTTATTATTATAGTTGTCACGGGGATGTGTGATCAGGGATTCCAGTGCACTG